GGTAGACCATAGTGCTAAGTGTAACGTAAAGGTCCATACGTTACCCGTCTACATTTTACGTTACCTTGACGAGGGTTAGCAACTGTACTGTTCGTCGTCCCCAAGTACCATTGCCCGTAGTAACAATCATCCGCTACTGCACCGTCTATCACCCGTGACTACCGTTGTACGTGACCACCGTCGATTGTCGCCGTCACGGTTGAGTGCCAATCGACCACATTTCTACCGATCACGACTGCGTCTGCCTTGATCACGTACTCACCGACCACGTTCGGCCCCGACCACGATTGTGTTCGCCTTGACCACGATTACGTTTTGCAGTTCTGACCGCGTCCGTCTACCTGTCGTTGCCGACTGCGGATGACTGCGACTGCGTACGTCGACCTGTCGACCACAACGACGACTGAAGGTAACTGCAGTCCGCCCTAACCGCGGGATGGGGATTGTGGTTACACGAGTCGTCAACTCCAACTCTCACTGTCGTTCGTGCAAACCGCACTGAGGGGATCCCGCTGCCCTAACCGCGCGTCGTGAACTCTGACTTGAGTGCTATGCGCACGGGGGGAAGCGCTGCCCTAATCGCGCGAAGAAGAGGGTCACGCGCCTATCGTTTGGGGTGGGGAAGGGGCTCTTTTCCTGCGCACCTCGTCCAAAGGCGTGCGCTCTCACCTCTCTTGCATCCTCACTTCACTATAAAACATAATGATCTCCAGATCCAGGGTGCGGACAAGTACTTGTGCGTAGCAAAAGAAGTAAAATATCTCCAGCCTCTATCAAGCAAAATACATTTTCTGCAATTACATCAAAGAAGCTCAAAGAACTCTCGCTAGATGGACAAAATTGGACTCTATTCCTCGGCCCCTCACACTCTCGTGACCAAAAAAACGCCCTGGCAATTAGTAAATCGATCATTCAATCACGCGAGCTCAACCCTCCCACTGAAGGTACAAAACAGAGACGCGTAATCACAAGAGCTTCGAAACCAATGGCACTGCTGGTGCTGCTGCGTGCGATTGGAATATCTCTCCCGACTACAGCTAGCTCAAAGGACGCCACAATCTCTTCGATTTCCGAACAATCCCCGAACTGACAGTTTTTGGAAAATTTGCTTGAAAGTTTTTGATATTCCCTGCTGTCTTCCTCATCAGAACTCAGAGTTCTCAAAAAAACAAAGAGACACAAACTTCAAAAAACACCAGGGTCAGTTTGTTAGTTTAACACCAACCCAACTTAGAACAAACCTTCAACAAACAAAAGCAAAACCTGTCGACCAAGTTTGAAAAAACTGAAAAAAGACTCTGTCAGAACTTCTGAAACTGTCACTTTCTACTAATAAAGCAGGAAATCCTGTATATATTTCAACTTGAATTAAATCTGTTTTTCTTTTAATTTCAACACGAGCAATTCCTCCATAATTTGACGAATTTTTTATATGTTTTTGTACATACAATTCAATACAGTCACGTATTTTTTTATCTTCTTCAAAAACTTTAGAATATTTTTTTGGTTTTGCAAACCAATACGAGCGGTGATTTTGTGTTATACCAAGTCTAAAACCAAGTGGGTTTATTTTTTGTCCCATATATATATTTTTTTTTTCAAATTATATTAACAAATTTTTTTCAATTTTTTTTATTTAGGAATAATATTCAGTACAATAGTTATATGACAAGTAGGTTTGTGTATAGGATAGCCACGTCCTTGAGCTCTTGGTTGAAATCTTTTAAAAAAAAGTTCCTTTATCTACTTGAATTTCACTTATGAATAAGTTTGTTTTACTTAATCCAAAATTATGATTAGCATTTGCAGCTGCAGATGAAAGTTCTGAAACTTCAAACCGAAACAACTAAACCGTGACTTTCCAACTAACTCCAAACCGAAAAACTATCACTCTCAGAAACTTCAAACCGAAAACATCTAAGCGGTGATTTTCCAACCAACTTCGAACCAAAAACCTGCTCTGATATCAATTTGCACGGGTAAATCAAATGACACATGCACGATTAGACGAGAGACATATAACGTGGTTCACCCTTCAGACGTCTACATCCATGGCTGGAACACACGAGATGGTTTACTTACAGTTGAATGCAACCTGTACAGAGTAGAAGCCTTGGGAGTATACATATATCCAACACCAGCGACAAACCTAGCTATAGATAGCTAAAACTTGAGGTTACTCCTTAAATGGAGTTAACCTCAACATATAAGGATCACAATCTATATGCACATTTTAATTATGAAAATCAAAAATTTAGTCACAAACTCTATACATGTGGATGACAAGATTTCTGGCTGCTAACAGTAACATGAGACGATAGCTTTAGATCTCAAAAGATGAATTAGTGTAGGTTTTGTTAGAGTAAATGATAACAAAATTGAAGTATGTAATAAGTTTACAAGTATTACATTCTGTTGCATCTTCTGCTATAATCTAGTTGTTCAGTATAGTCGGCTCTAATCCAAGAGATCCAAGATCTAAATTCTGATCTCAGAGTGAAGCATTGTACATTTTTTACGGAATCTTGATTAGATCACTTGTCAAGATTGTGTAAAAAAATGGCGAATGTTTCTTTTTTAAATTGTATTTGAAACAACCTTTCTTGATAAAAATTATTCGTCAAGGTTGCAAAAACTCAGACAACATTTATTCTTTGAAATTATACTTGAAACAACGATTTTTTATAAAAAATGCTTATCAAGATTGAGTAAAGTTGAACTAATAATATTTTTTTTTAATTATACCTGAAACAACAGTTTTTTTTAAAAAAAATTGCTTATCAAGATTGCGTAAAGTTGAGCTAATAATTTTTTTGAAATTATACTTGAAACAAAGATTCTTGATAAGAATTACTTGTCAAAATTATGTCGAGTTGATAACATTTTTTTTTTAATTTTAATTGAAACATTTCTAGTATGTGACTATGAACATCATAAATCTAGATCACTATAAATAGAAAAGTACTTGTGAGGATTATAGGTTATGTAAAATTGTACAACATTTCTTTTTTTGAAATCATACTTGAAACAAAGATTCTTGATAAGAATTACTTGTCAAAATTATGTCAAGTTTGCCAACACTTCTTTTTAAAAATTATTATTGAAACAAAAATTTTGGTAAAATTTATTTGTCAAGATTATGTAGAGTTGATAATATTGATTATGTAGAGTTGATTTTCTTGATGGGACCTTGTGGAAAGTAATTTGCTTGATGGTACACTTCAGGTTTCATTTTACCTGATGGGACTCCATGAACGATGCACCGTCACCCATGTTCTAATAACAATTAGAGAGAGTGCAACGAGTCAACCGCACCCGCGTACAGAGTGGACTTCGCACTCCATCACACTCATTTGTTTTTATGTTGTCATTCTCTATCCAGCCACTCCCCCAGGTGACGAGCAAAGAAATGTTCATCCGGAGTGAGCAAAGAAATGTTCATCCGGAGTTTATTTGTTCATCACAAATTGGTGATCGCAAGACTTCAGCTTGGACCACTTTCCGGTACGAGCTCCTCGTCACATACACATGGTTACAGAAGGTGCAGGTGGGAAGCAACAGAGAAATCTGCGAATCGATGCAATCGGAAGAATTGAAGCACAACAAATTGCACTTCGAGCAAAATCGATCTTTGTACCCGTGATAATACACCAAAAATTATAATCAGGGATTGATCTCTAATTGTAATCCGTGTAACTAGTACTAACCGTAATTACAAGAACTATGTACGACGACACACCGTTGTTGGGGTCCCATAGGGTAAAACTAAACCTGAGGGGTCACATTAGCAAATTACTTTCCGCAGGGGTCCTATCAAACAAATATCTCCAATTTTTTTTAAAATTGTAATTTAAACATTTCAAGTAGGTGGCTATGAACATCACAAATCCAGAACATTATAAATGGAAGATTACTTATCAAGATTATATAAAATTGTACATCTTTTTAAAAAAAAATTTATACTTGAAACAAAAATTCTTGATAAGAATTACTTGTCAAAATTATGTAGAGTTTGCCAACATTTATTTTTTAAAATTGTAATCGGAAAAAAAAATTGATTAAATTACTTGCCAAGATTACTTAGAGTTGATAACACTTCTTTTTCTAAATTTTGATTGAAATATTTCAAGTTCGTGACTATAAACACCATAAATCTAGAAATACATTCTAAGCACGCTTTTTTTCTACAATGGCTATAAAGATCACAATCTATACTCACGCTCTATATATGAAAGACCCAAATCTATACTCAAGCTCTACATTTGAAAAACCCAAATTAGTCATTGTAAGACCATCACGATCACAAATTGTGAGAAAAACCTATCGTGTTAATGCAGATCGTTGTAAGATCACCATGATGTTTCTGGGATTAGCCTCTGCGGCCCATGGTGTGTAGGAGCCGCAGGACTGAAAAATGAACGCATGACTTCTCTCGTTTTGTCATAGCTGTGGTAAAACTCGGTCTATGGAGTAGCTCTTACCACCCACGTCATGGAATCTCGCCAATTCAACCGCCTGCGGAATGACATTCGGAGAGCGTGTAGAAAAGCGTTTTGTCACTCGTTAAAATCCGCAGAAACGTCCAAACATGAGAACTGTAGAGTACTTCTCAGGTACGTTCATCGTATTTGCAAGGATGTATTAAAACTTTTGCACCCACGCTTTCCGTCATGGAGATTACGGAATTCCATACCGTGGGCAGGCAAGGTAAGAGCTCCTCCATAGTCCAAGTTTTCCAACAACTAATTACGTAACCTCTGTCCAGGCCACAGTAGCGGAAGATGAGGCTGCCCGAAACACTCTACCCGAATCAACTGCCCCAGGCGCTAACTTTGAATCTTCGAGTTTCGGCAATCCATAGAAATGAGTTCAAACCACGAGGCCTCTCCGTGATCTACGACTACACACATACCACAAACATTACAGCACAATCTGACCTCCAGATAGATAAAAGACAATGAACGTTGTAAAAGTCGAATTTTCTGATTACTTCCCATCTGCAGCGTGGTCTAAAAGAGAGATCACACACGATCGACAAGTTCTCTTTCGATCCCTTCCAAGTACATGTGCCTACTCCTAGACTCGAACTTGTTACATAAGAGGCAAAAACGTGACGGCGAAGATGCAGAAAAAAAGGTGAAGTTCAACGGTCGCTACTTAGGAGAATGTAAAAAGGGGTCTGAAAACGAGGCTTCTCTCCTAACCGATAATCTTAACAGCTCTTCTTTGCATGCAAGAATGGAGAAGACTGAACCAGATTCCTCAAACTGTCAAAAAGATTCACTGGCTTGCAACATTTACAGCTCCAAAAGTACAATATCGGAGCCCTGTATCGGAGCCCTGGTAACCGCTTTCTGATCTCACCGCACATATGAACTCATTTCAAACTCAATTTACTGAGACATACCACGTCTTTAACCAGAGGCAGCCTAGCCTCATCGCGGCATCATCTCAGTGTCGAACTACATCGTAAAGTTCTGGCTTAGGGGATTTCCAACCTGCACATTCACAGAGTTGGAAAGAGCTCCATACTACAAGCCGAGCTTCTGCACCCTTCGTCTTAGTTGCCTCCGCAATTCAATTGACAGCACCTGGACTTCAAATTGCGCATCCAAGTTGAAATCATGCACGTACGGTATACACCTTGGAAATTGTAATCCCTCTCTTTCAAATGAGGGACAATCGCCCAAAACTATACAAATGACAGCCCAACAGCTGATTTTAATGATGGCATACTACTATGAATGAATGGATCAGCTCTTCAACAAATGCGTGTATTTCTCCTATGCCTCTGATAGGTCAGCACCATAATCAGTTCTTTGGCAGAACTTGCATCCAGATGCATCAAGCCAGTGGTGGTTTCGTTTGCGGCTAGACCCTGGTTTTCCTGATCTTTCGTATTTGGGGCAGCAGCAGTTGCAAACCAGATATTTCGTACACTTTCCAGCGGCAGGCTGGAAACAACCGGTTGGCCCCTACATGTGATTTCGACCTGATACAGACGGAGCACCAGGTAAGTCAAAGTTGATACGTAGTATCCAGTAATCCTGAGATGAAACAAGACCGTTAATACCAAACTGGGAATACCGCCGGTAGATGTTAACAGTTCAATGGAAACGTACCTCTGTTTCATTGGACAAGCCTAGTTTCTTGACAAGGTACTTCTTGACGTGAGAAACTGGAAGTTTTCCATCCCTGCAAAACGAATACACCAGGCCTCAGAACGCTTCACAAGATCCTGGAAAATATGGCCTGTTCAATATTTTCTGGTGTTAACGTTATAGCATTAAAACATTTAACAAATGTCTCCTTCGAACAACATCTCGTCACAGAGATCGAAAATCCCATTAAATTAGAAACTAGATTACTACACTTACTTTATTCTCAGATAAGGACTAGACAGTTGTGGGAGAGGATTGTCCGCTCTGGACGCACAGCAATGTCGAAAGGATTAGTGCGGGTCTCAAAAAGCAACAAGCATGTCAAAAGCTTCAATATGGGTCAAAACCACAGGCAAAACACTGATCTTGCTCCAGCCAAATGTCAGGCATGATTCAAATCAGAACCTTGAAGAAAACGAGACAGAGAAATGTCAAAACGTTGATGGTCAATATTCCCTTTAAGATCAAGAAGACAGGAAAATACAGAAGGATATCGACTCACGACTGGTTCCGGGCGGCCTGAAGGGCAAACCATATGCCGCAGCTGTTCGGGGCGAAGGATGTCGAAGCTAAAAGAGAACCGTTTGCGGGTGGGGTGGGGTGCATCAGTATGGCAGGTCTCTCCACACCACCATTCACGAACAACTTAAGGGACGGATTTCTCTGCAGTTGAGGGCTCGATCTCCTTGCCCTTGGGGGACTAGCATGGAGGGTGGAGCTATCAAGAGCCTGGGTGATGGCTGAAGAGGGCCGGGTTTCTATAGACTTCGCATCATGACTAACAATGTCTCTGCCCCTTGAGATGTCTGGTCCGTTGTTCGCGAGACCAGATGCACCAGTCTGCGGCTGTTCTCCACGACTGGCTTTACCAATACCAGAAGCTTCAGCTACTTCTGCTAACGTAGCCAAAAGATTGTCAGACCCCAAACCACGTCCATCCTGAGAATTAGCAGGTCCCTTTGCAGACCCAGCACCTGTTTCGTCGGCAGAAACCATTGGTTCCATACCGCTGCCACTTCTTGTTCGGGCAACTCCATTTGCAGTAAGGACTGACCGTCGGGCATGGTAAATCCCTACGTCGGAGCTTGGTGCAGGGGGTTCTCTAATCGGAGCTCTTCTTGGTTCTTCCTTCGGCCGCGAAGGTCTAAAAGGTATGAAGTCCAGATCGTTGATTTCATGTTCAACTTCCATCCTTTTGGCACCAGTGGTTGAAAACGGAGCTGACTCAACCATCCCATTCGTTCCCTCCTTCCCGACATAATCCTCCGCGTCGGTGGGCTCGTCCTCCTCTTCATCTTGCTCGTCAACTTCGTCAGCGTCTTCCTCCTCCTCCTCCTCTTCCTCTTCTTCCTCTTCCTCCTCCTCCTCTTCTTCTTCTTCTTCCTCCTCCTCCTCACTACTACTGGTATCTCGAACAGCTAAAGACTTTCCAGGAGAACCTCTGGTTGCCCGAGTAGCGAACCCTGGATTGGCAGACTGTGGTTGCGCGCCAATGCCCAGGGAATAAAGCGACCTTTCCTTTCTTCTGATAGGAGCAGCTGATACTGCCGGGCTACTGCCGGGACCATTCTTCCTTTTGCGAGATGCATCGGGGAAGAGCTTAGCCTTCACATCATCTAATTGGTGATCCGCCCTGCAGGAAAGCACGAAAAATGAGCGGCAAAACATCGAGAAATAAGGATGCCTATCATGAGTTCTATAAATGGACAGTTAGGGCTCTTCTTCAAAATATCGATGCCAACTAAATCGTGATGACGTTTTCCATTTCCACACCGTACAAGGATGTGCACGTAGTCTCAAAATTTGTTCGCGATGAAGTTTCCGATTCTACCGACACGCGTTTGGTGGAATTGGGAAAGATGAACAACAATCGGCAGCCAGGTCTGCTCAAGGGGATGGTACAAAGGCAGACTTACATAAAAGTCAGTCACATTATTTTAAAGATTTAAGAAGGTTTCGTGGGTAAAAAATTCTGGAAGATAAATGTAAGAAGTGACTGACTCTGATCACGGGACGAGACGCAGACACGAAAAGCTATGAGGTCAGGTCAAGGTACAAAACAATGGACAAATAAATGTGAAAGTTTTTCTCACAGAATTACTCCGGCTGAAACTGCCAGTCTCTATTATCATTGTTGAGAATTAACACGTCCAGAAACCTTCAGCAACGACATGACGGCACGCGAGTCTGAAACAAGATGAGTGGCGGACGCCTTCATCGACTCTGAACGTGACTTTTCAACAAATGCTTCAAAGCAGCCCCTCAGTTCGTGACCTCCTGGTAAAAACTGGAAACGGGGCCGAGTTGAGTCCAGTTCTTGACAATGAGAAAGCAGGTGCACAAACGGGGCGGTATGGACTACCTGGAACGTTCTAAATTTCGACCTACAACCAGCGACATATCACGATGCCCGACTACACTGACTGACCAGTGCGTGTATCGGCTGTCATCGCTGACTTCACGCAAGTAGTTCAAAGGACCTCGTGTCAAGTGTGTCAGTCACTTTCTTGGTAATAAAAACGTGAAACCAGCCGAACCTGCCCACACTGCGGTCCAGCAGAGTAATCTACCTGGCGGTCCTACTGAGCTTAATCGGAATCTTCCGAACTTGGTTCTTTGACTTCAGCTGATACTAGTGATAGCGTCCAGGGACTAAGACATGTGCATTAGGCCATTCTTCTTACGATTTAGATGAATCAAATTTGAAAAAAAGCACCTCAGCTTCTCCAGTGGAAGAGTGCCCAAGCTGACATTGCAAATCGGACAGCTGTTGGTCTCGCCATCGCTCAGTCGACCTTGTATACAGTCCCTGCAAACTGAATCCCACATGGACATCACACTTTGCTGCATACATACATGACGACATGCCAGCGTCTCTTGCCGTGGACACTGGGCGTATGTGTGCAGAGCCAGCTGCATGGATGCTCAGGAAAAAATTGCAGGCAGAGCAACACGTGGCACAATGCAAAAGCCATCGCTGCAGCCGCGAAGTCAACTTAAGCTCAATCATCAACCAGCTCTGATCGCACCACTACTGAGCGAATGGCAAAGAGCTTCAATACAAGAAACAGCACTGAAAGAACGCAGAAACGCCTCGAGCAAAATTCTCGTCCAGCAGATAGTGCGAGCCCGACCAGATTGTCCCAAGTAACTCGGCAGATGACAGGCAGAGCGAGACACAGAACAAAACAGAGCTTCAGTGACAAATCACTCACAGGTATGCAGACACTCGGAGACTGTCGTCGCTTCCCGGAACAAATCCCCGCAGAGTGGACAAGTCAAGCACAATATGAGCGGCGCCCTGGGGACTCTCACACCTCCAGAGCCGTAAGACGCCGCCACTTTCTTCGCGCTCAGTGGCATCCTCTCAAATTGAACTCCTTGCACATCCCAGAGATTACGCCCTCTCGCGCATCCTCCCTGCCGTGCCCCCGTCACAACCCCGGACCTCTCACGGTCGCTCGCTCGCTCGCTCGCCCACTCGCTGGCTCGTACCGCGAGGAAGGAGCCTCTCTCCAGCACAAAGAAACGATAGCAATACTAACGCTCAGACGCGCCGAAATCAATCGGGCGAGAAATGTCCGAATTGGCCCCGCTCGTCGACCATCGTTCACGTGATTAAATCGTGCCCGCGAACCACACCAACCTCACCAGCCTGCTCCTCCGACCGCATTCGTCTGCACCGACCGCACGCGCGTCAATTTCGAGCATCACTCTCCGCACGGGCTCGATCATTTCTTTCCTGCGCATCGCCATAACCCTAAACATTATCACTCCCCCTCCATATGCCCGCTCGCCCTCCAAGCCCTCCAAGCCTGCACTCTCTCCCGTGCCGTCTCCTCTCGTCCCGTCTCGTCTGTGCTCGTCGTCCGCGTCCGCGTGTGAGAGCGCGAGAGAGCGTCGCTGTCTCGATCGATCGAAGTGGACGAGGGGCGTTGATCGGCGCCACAGCCCTGCCTGCTTGCTTGCCTGCCTGCCTGCCGTTCCGGGCACCGCCCAATTTTCGCTTCGGGCAGCGGTTAACACCACGCCATGAGTCCGAATTCGAATGCCCGCTGCCCCCCCGCCTCGCGTCGCTCGTATGTCCCCTGTCTGCTCCGGCCGTCTCTCCAGTGGGGGGCTGCTTCTACCGTCTCTCTTGCGATCGGCGCCCCTGTTCTTGTTCTTGTTCTCAGTCCCTGCCTCCCTCTATTCTCTCGTTATCCATCGGAAGTTTGGCGGCCCCCACCTCCAGCAACTTCTGCTCCTTCCTTCGCTCCCGACGTCGGAAGGATGATTCCCGATCAATCCTCCGTTTGTCCTTGCACAGGCCCTCTCTCTCTCTCTCTCTCTCTCTCTGTGTCCCTTTGTCTCCTGGACTGCAACTGCGCTGCGATGTTAGCGTCGCCGTCATTCTCATTTGGTCGGGGATCGGCTTTTTCGACGGGTCTCGGCGGGCTCATTCATCTTCTCGGGATTCGACCGCTGGTCTGCACGAGAGGGAGAGAGAGAGGAGAACGTGAGGTTTGCAACATGGCCTGGGAGAAATTATGTATCAATGCGTTAATTGTCCGCGGAAAATTAATTTTTCCTTTACTACTTCGTTTCGAAGACGGTCGACTGCTTCGAAAGGGACGCGCATGAGTCCCATCGCGAGCTAAACTAGAGAGAGAGCCCCGAAAGACCACCAGAACGACTCGATGCTCGCCCCGGTGGGGTGGTGTCCTCGACACGCGTCCACTTGCGCTGTGACCATGCCGGCCGGCGCCTTACGTGGTTCCTCCGTGGCGCGTAACGAATCTTGGTTCGAACGTTACAGCGCCCACCGCAAACGTCTCTTCTGGGACCATTCCCGCTGGGACCAACGCTCAAGCCCTTCTTGCCGCTCGCGTCCTGAAGACAATCTGGTCTGTGCACGAAACCCCACCACCACCCCCCCTCGGTAAACACGATGTGACCATCTTTACCGTTAAAAGTACGACATTAAATTATGAATTCCGGTTTAATTTACACGTTCAAACAGTTTTGATAGACATATGGACTCCCGTTTAATTTACTCAATCACAGTTTCGGGCACGCTGCCGTCTTCCAAGTGCCGTGTCCGTTTACTTCATATCAGCCTGATGGATGGAAACGTGATTGAGCGTCGATCGGTTGCCCTCATCATGGATCGACCGAATAGACTACTTCACCCTCTTCAGCTCAGAAAGTCAATGTGGGAATTACTGCGCTCTGAAGCTCCACTCGGCCCATTCTCCACCGAAGCAAAGGGGAAAGAATTAAATACATATGATAGGAGTTAAGCTTGGATATCCAGAGTGGAGATCACAGTGGTGGACAAGAGTGATGGCCTCATAATACCGCGGCGCAGCTGCAGATCGCCTCCGCCGAACCGTGGCGGACAGTGATAGAGAGGGAGACTTTCTACAAACCAACCCTCCACGAAGCGGGAGAGCGAACGAGCGAGCAGAGTTGCACTGCTCGTTGCGTTGCGCAAAGGCCAGGTCCGACGATTAACTTCCAAAAATGAGGACGGTCGTTGACTTTTGTTTCGGTACCAAATGTGTGCACGCACGATCCCAACGCAGTCGAAGGTGCATCCTGCTTCTGGATTGGAGCGCACAACCCAAAGACGCCGTTGGTCGTTGCACACTTGAGAACGGGAAGCAACTTTTGCATTGCCAGCGCGGCGGCGGCAGCTGCAAAATATAATCATATGAAGTTGACGGATGAGCCACAGCAGTGTACAAGCACTGGCACTGGCGAAAGGATGTTCCTCCTCCAGCCATAGAGAAATGTGTGAATCAACAGCCTCTTCTGCAGTTTAAAGAAGGAGAATTTCCTGGAAAAACATGTAGATTTCTATATTACACTTTCCTCGGTGAAAGGTGGTTTGTGGTTTCAGATCAGTTGTCTGAAGACATGCCTCTGCTGTGGTCAGGAGGCATGTTTTGAGATGACCGGCTAACTGCTGACTGCTGCAGTCGATGACTTGAGGTGCAATGAGGAATTCGATCCGGGTTTGAGGTTTCGATTAACTTTATAGAGCGGCGACAGCTGCGAGAAATTGTTCAGGAACGCGCATTCGAGGTGCTTGTTGAGAGCCTAGACTTCCCAATTGTCCGCAGGCAGCCATTTGATCATCCCCTCGGCTTCGACGGATGTGGACCACGGTGCCTGATGTCGCAACTACGTCTCTGAACAAAAGCATTTGCTCCATGGAGCTAGGGCGAAAACCAGATTCCGAGTGAGGGTTGAAACAGATAAGGTTGATTTTACACGATATCCCTTGCACCAACTCCACCAGTCTGTGTGCGTCCTCCAAGCTGCACGGCAAGCCAACACACGTCCATCGTCATGCGAAGTAAGAATGCGAGCAGAAACCTGACACATCCACACGTCTTGTTCTTCACAATAACATCTTGCATTTTCCTCTCGTGACTCTGGGGACTGTGAGACTTTTGCACGCACCTGTCGTTCACTCCGGCGAGCATCACATATTCGAAGAAGACCTGATTGTTCGGCCGTTGGGAGAGTTCTTCCCTCAAAGCACCCAAAAGCGCGGATAGGTTGTATTTTCGATTGATGGGCATGATCCAGTTGCGCACCTGCACGATTCTCCAGGATCAGATGAACTCGCTTAGACACATATCTAGGTGTCATATTTCTGAAATATATCTCTATTTTCAAGTCGATAAGAATATAATATCCAAATTCGATACCTCATCTGTCGTTGCGTTCAGGCTGACGGCTAATGAGCATTTCGACTCTCGATAGAACTGTCGCAGCTGAGGCACCAGACCACTGGTCGAAACTGTCACTTTATTGTGAGAGAGATGAAATCCTTTCTCATCCACCATGATGTTGGCTGCCCGTATCACGTTGTCCGCATTGTGCAGAGGTTCACCCATTCCCTGCCACGACTCCCAATTATATCAGACGTTGTTGATAACTTTTTCAAATTTGTACAACATTCATATGCTCATGAATGAGCACCGTACATTGTATTGGATTCCAAACCTCAACAGTGGACTTCATTTACCCGCCCTACAGATCCTCTAACATACTGCAGAATCTCTGCACCAATAAATTAATATGAATGAGATAAATAAATGAGAAATGTTCGACTGACATCACTGATGTTCCCGCTTCTAGTCATGAAAGATTTTCATCTACCAATTTCGTGCTGTTTCACATCCTTCCGACGACATGTGGGTCGGCAATTTGTGCGGGTGAAAAGTACGGGTTTCATCTCATGTAGATGTGAGCTACGCCACGGCTCTCTATATCCGATCAGGACACTCTCTGGTCGGGCACAGAAACATTTGCAGAGTACATGTATATGCTCCTGAACTAGTCCAACTACTTTCCAGTCCGCATAATACACCCATCCACTAAAATGAGTAATAAAATAAACGACGATGGACATGATTTTGCCAAATCAACCTCCATATTCTGAGATTAGACTTACCATGAACACAACATTGGTGACGGCACCCATGTCTGCAGTACATAGACGACATGCAACCACAAGTTGCTCGACAATTTCTGCAGTGGTCAAATTCCTCTTTAACCCCATCCTGTACCAGTACACACAGCTCAGATCATGTCCGCGTGTGCTTTCAATGAAGTCAACAACTGTGCAAATTCAGTTCCAGTCGGGTCCCTGACCAATCAGAGAGAAACTTGTTTCAGATCCGTACGTGATTCCTGCCCATTCCTGATTTTGGATCTGATAGTATGATTGAAGAATGACACTAGTAATGCAACAATGAATGGTCTAGAATAAACAAGTACCTGCCTGTATAGCAAAATTGACAGTTCATTGCACAGCCAACTTGGCTAGAAACGCAAACTGTATTTCGACCGTTTCCAGTTGCACAGGGAATTACAACTGTTTCGATCGTTCCTCCATCCACGGCAAAAATAATCTGACACAGTTTCAGTGAGCAGCATGTGATATTATTACGACTTTCGTTCAGAATATAAGATAACTTTCACTTTCCTTCGATAAATTACTTCCTTCATATGCATATGAGACGTCGACTGCATGAATCACCACTGCAAGAGCTAAACGAAGTTAAGTACATGTAGTCAGCAAGTTTGGCAACAAGGTCACTTCATGGACAACGGCGTCGAATGTACCGAGAATACTCATTCAGATGCATCTAGAAAGATATAAACGTTATGAAGGTTATCTTCTTCTCCTTCGGGCCCAAAATATTGACTTTAAATAAGACAATCGATTCGTCACACCGTCTGGACACAATAAACTTGTCGAGGTCCACCACCCAATATGTTGGCACTAGATGGTACATTCGGCTTCTATCAGCTTCTTGTAGATTTAACATCTCCCTCAAGTTGATAATAAACCTGTTTTTCTAGCAGCGACATAACCTCACCTTACGCGTTCCATCGGCAGCTTCGTGTACTTTAACCAAGTTAAGAACCTCTAGCTGTGCTTTATTTTGCAAAGTGGACTTGAATTCTTTCTTAAGACCTGCATGCAGGAAGCAGAACAAAGAGATTCATGTATGAATGGCAGAGTCATACGACATCACCTGCTAAGTAAGTGAAATGAGATAAAATTTTGTAGCAAAACAAGGTAGCCTTGTAAGCATTGAAGTCACTGATATTTTCAAGCCATGCTTTAGTAAATGGAACCGACAGTTCCCAATATTTGAGAAGGAAATATACTTCAGACTCGATTTCCTTTTCTTTTAAGCACAACCAACCTGTCATGTCGTCTATAGTAGCTGCCCACTTTCCATTTCCGTACAAGTATTTCCACAGCATCAAAGCCTGACTCTTCTTGTAACCTATTGACTCCACCCATACCTGTCAGCAAATAAAATAATAAGTCAAGTGCGTCAGTTGGTTTCGATCACTTGCCCCCGCCTCTTGAGAAAAAATCAGTCCTCACCTTGAGCACATAAGTGGGTATACGTGATTTGTTTCCCCGCTTTATAAATCTCCCGAACAGCAGATAGGTATAAATTAGTTTCTAGAATGTGAAGTTCACAACATTGATAACAATGCACATTTCCAGTTTTCAATTCCTTAAGGGTCCATCCAGGCCAGTAGACCTTCTCAATTATAGAATCAATTTTGCATCTACTCTTCATGACACTGACGTTCCATGACTACGCTGTTATAGGTGCAATCGAAATTACGTGTCCTGAACACGCATCCCCGGCTGAAGTAATAACCTGAATTAAAAGGAACCAAGAATCCTGTGAAACCAACCCCTCTCCACTTCCGTATGTGTAATTTTAAACTGCAGGGAATGGTGGCGATACATTTTGGCCCCAGCAAGTTCAACAAAGCTTTCAAGCACTCTGCACTTTAGGTCCAGTCCTTCCTTGTCAATATAAAGGTCGGATAATGTGACCGCAGCCTTTGGACTTCACACAGATTAATAATCACTGAATTACAGCACTCGTACAAAAAGTGGCACATCACCTCGAGATCTGTGTAGCTCAAATTCTTTAATATGCACCTCTCGTGAAGTTTTGTAAGAACCTGCTCAGCTGCGTCTGCCAACACGAATCATGATGGGAAAATGTCAAGACAGAAAAAAAACGTAGTGATGTCCAGCCACAGCATGAAGACGTGTTTTCACTACAGACATGGTTATCAAATCTAACCACCCTGCCTGCAGACATATCAAGCCATTCTTGTTGACGAAGAAACCAGATCAACATTCCCGACTTACTTATGAATCTCGACATACAAGAGGAAATCTTAGACCTGCAAAGTTTCGTACCAACGGAAGCATTCGAGGCGCACGCGACAGTGCGCGGAGAAGAACATCGGCATCGAGCCGCCCTCGGAAATGTCTCCAATTCACGAGAACCCAATAAGCTGGATGAAAGCGAAGTCCTGCCCACGGAACCCACAACCGGTACAGTACAAACCTTCCTGACACGGGTGACGCTACACGCCGCTCGACTTATGAACGAGCGGAGCTCCACCACCGCCATCTCCAAACCTGTCAATTTCTCTACAAACTAAACTACAGACACCAAATTGCAATTGCTCCCGGCTCAGCCTCCCGAGCACCACATCCTTCTGATGGGACTGTATTGCGTTGTAGTCTTTCTTCACTACGCTATTTTGTCGCTATTCATGTAGCGGCATCCGCGTGAAGATACATTACCTACAGACGGTTGTGTGCAAATTACTTTAGATTCGACGTTCTATCCAAAGACTGCATGATGAAGAATTCTTGTCGCTGATCATCGTCGCACTCTATCTCTCGATAAGGCCAATGTCGTAGTTACGAGACTACTGTTCGATGGCTCGACTTTTAGGTGATGCACGGCTAAAGATATTGGATGACATGGTATCCAATATCTTAGGTTCATGCTATGTAAGTGAAGAGTTTATGAACACATTTTCCAAAAAACATAGACACTCACGAAAATTTCAAAATCTTAAGATATTTGGATTTCTAAGGTTTGGTTTTCCTAGTTGTTGACAATAAGCTCGCCTTCAGAGAAAAAAACGAATGCACACATAATGATATTCATTACTTTGATATAAAAACTAAACATGACCATTCTAAATCATTATGAAAATCGAAACTGCTATAAATATTGATTTTTATGAAGCTGATAGATTATCTGAAACTATAACCAGCCCATAATTTATTTTTTCGTCACTCCAATACAAGTTACAGAGAGAATATATTTGTTCAGGTAAAGATGATTCTATCTGCATATCAAGAAGTTATTATAGATGATCTGCAAACCTGAAATCTTACGGAACATGCATAAACTTATCACACCACTCTGTCAAGACTTTAGCGTTGTAATAACTCAACATACCAAAAATGAAAATCATCAATAATTTGAATGAAAAAACATCCACTACAATGATACTCTCATCTTGTTGAATAATTTTAAAACATATTGCATTTGTGCGTCAGTAGTCAACTTTTGATAATATAATTTTACATCATCTATGACTAGATGCAGGGAATTGATCATTTAGTAAAGCAAGGAAAGCAAAAATGTTGTCAAAATTGGATTAGAATATTTTTTAAATCGGTTTTTTTTTCTGATTTCTGGTTCGTTTCACGTTCATTCCGTTGATTATTTTCATGTGACCTCCATATTGTCTTTATTTCGTTATAATATCTAGCACATGCACAATCCGTCCCACATGATCAACGGAGGATCTCGGGACCAGAAAATCGCAAATGTCTTATGCTTAAAAATCGCGCTACGAACCACATGATAATTCTGTCGCATTGTACTCTTCGAAGCTTCCCACCCACGACGGCATCACGTGGTTAAGAAGCACTTGAGAGCGAGGCCGGCCAACGCAGTTCGAGAACACGAGTTGCAGAAAGTGCGCGTGTCGTGGTGCAGGGAGTCAGTTGAAGGCACTACAGTCCGATGATACGGTTGCACAGTGCGCATCCATCGATCGAACCACGCGAAGTTGGCCTAACCCCAAACCCCTGAGGACCTTTGCAGCTCCACTCCGCTCCGGCCCATTGCAATTTCGCTCTGTACCGCAGCTTTGCTTCGAGGCATTTGACGTGTTTTGGCCTCTCGATCGATCATTGTGGAAGCGATTATGTTGTTAGCAGTGGCCGAGGCCGGGGTGGCGGTCGGTGTGCCTGCGCAGATTGAAAGAGCTGTTAGAATTGAAGGATGTCGTGGTCGCAGGCGAGCGAGTTTGGGCAGAGCTGTAAGGTTTGCCAGAGCACAGGCGTCGAGTTGTTCTGGTGATGGAGACGAGGCAAGAAGGGCTGAGATGAGGAAGTCGTTGAGCAGAAGCTGGAGGACCAATGCCCAGGGTGGAGCTGGTGCTCCCGGCTTGACTTACAAGGATGCTGGAGTGGACATTGACGCTGGTGCCGAGCTTGTCCGCAGAATTGCTGCTATGACGCCCGGGATTGGCGGTTTTGGGGGCTTGTTTCCTTTTGGTGGGTTTTGATTCACTTTGAGCTTTTCAACACATTATGTGTATTCAAGAATTGAATATTGTAGTAGTATTGAGCACTTTATATTTAGCTTTCTAGCCCGTTGAAAGATATAGTATTCGATTGCGGGCGATCGTGCAATAGTTCAGATTGCGTTCAGTATATTTTTCGAATTCAGTTTTCTTGCTTTGCACCACGTCTGAATATCTTCGTTCTTTCAAAATCCGAGCAACTTGCACTCATAGAATTCTCTGGATAACTTAGTTAAGTGCAGTGTCATATGACGTCTTGGAGGAAACTTTGGTTATTTTATCTTGCCTTTTTTAAAAATATGTCTATACCGTAAATATGGTTCGAATCTGAAGATGCTGATGAGCTCAAACCAGTTCAGACGATCTTGTATATCTTGTTCAGACTGTATCTTATTTATATTGTTCAGAAGTCGAGGAAGGTTGCTTAACCATTCTTTTGGATGGGCTGTAACGTAATCAGGGGACTCGTACTTGGTGGCCGGAACTGATGGAGTGGGAACTAAATTGAAACTTGCTTTTGATCTGGACATTCACGATACCATCGGCATCGACCTGGTATGGAGTTGATTACCGTCTATAACACTTGTCAGTTAAGAGTACAATAACTCCGAATAAAGAGAACAATAAAGACGTGAATCAACTCTGAGGAGAACAATACCTTACAGTTACTTGAGGAGAAAATTATACAAATGTGTTCGTGGAGTATGTGTTAATTTGCTTGTGCTTGAACCAAGAAATTAATTGTGCCGCCCTTCGTCGTTCTTATTTAGACAAATAAGAACGACAAAGGGCGGCACAATTAATTTGTCTAAAATTGTTCTTTACTCGGTTTACAGGTGGCGATGAGTGTGAACGATATCATCACTTCTGGTGCGAAACCTATGTTTTTTCTTGACTATTTCGCAACCAGTCGACTTGACGTAGACCAGGCCGAGCAGGTAAGCATTTCCTCACCCTTAGGTTGTATTTGGGTCATACCATCAAATAAACAGTATTCGTGACATGCAGTGAAGTTTCTCATTACGGATAACTTTGCAGGTTATTAAAGGTATTGTGGAAGGATGCAAACAGTCGGATTGTGCCCTTCTTGGAGGAGAGGTAATTGCATTTACCCACTCTTTCATGATGTTTGCCGTATCTTCACTCAGATGGTCTAGTTCCGTTCTTGCCCATGCCCAGATCTCCCTCGTTGATTTATGTATTGCATGTGTTATCTAGACAGCAGAAATGCCAGACTTTTATGCCGAAGGCGAATACGATTTGAGCGGCTTTGCTGTCGGTAGCGTCAAGAAAGATGCCCTGATAGATGGGAAGAATATAAAAGTTGGAGATCAAATCATAGGTTTGGCCTCCAGTGGTGTGCATTCCAATGGTTTCTCCCTTGTCCGCAGGTATGTGTCGTATTTCACATGTCTGCGTGCTATTGAAGGCTGGAGATTTTCTTTCACCTTTCTCTATCGTAGGAGCATAGGTCTGTTTAAGCCACTCTTTCGCGTATGAAAGTGGAAGCTGAAATGTTGGACACAAACTTAAATGACTATATCTTCACCTCCTGGTTTTCTTTGGTCACCGAAGATCTGTTAAATTGCACTTAGAGATGAAACTTTGCGGATTAACAGAGTTCTCGCAAGGAGTGGAGCGACTCTGTTTGATGCCTTACCTGGTGCTGAAGCAACAACTATCGGAGAGGCTCTTCTTGCCCCGACAGTCATCTATGTAAAGCAGGTCAGTCTGTTGCTCGAAGTCCTTTTATTCACAGGATGGCAATAAACGACATTACCATGTGTACAGTCCCATCCAGTTCATCGAAGCAGGCAGTTGATTCAAGGTGACTGATGCGTGGCTGTTCTTGGTGTTGGTACAACTGGAATTATCAGGTGCTTGACATCATATCCAAGGGTGGAGTGAAGGGCATTGCCCATATAACTGGTGGGGGCTTTACGGACAATATTCCACGAGTTTTTCCATCTGGTCTGGGTGCTCACGTTAAAGTTGGTGTTTGGGATGTTCCTCCTATTTTCAAATGGCTACAGAAAGTGAGTAACAATCATGGACTCTCGCTCTTATTAACAGTCAATAAGTACATTAGATCTCACCACATAGTTCATAGCTGTTTATGTGTGGATCGAAAGAACAGCTATGCACAGGCTGTTTTTCACCTTTTGTACTAACTACAACTTTTCAATGGTAGGCTGGAGGTGTGGAGGAGGCCGAGATGTTCAGAACCTTCAACATGGGAATAGGGATGATCCTTGTGGTCAGTCCTCAGGTTGCAGAGGAGATTGTTTTGACAAATAGCAATGCGTGTCTTTTAGGCCACGTCGTGGAAGGAGACGGTGTGACCTACGGGAAATGAGTTGATACTCCAGTCTGTGGCTCTTGATTGGAATTCTTCTTCTTTCTCAGCTACCCTTTCTTGTACTTTGCATTCAGGTAATACTCGTAATACTTCAACGTAATTTCCTTGTACTCACTCCTATTCCCGTTAAGTCCTTCATACTAACAGGTTTTCAGATCTTGTTATGCATTAGCTGGTGATTTCAAGCAGTCTAATGTCTTATGTGGCCAGCCTGTGTTATGTGATATGCTTGATTGAGACATGGCGTTTTGGTTTATTCAGGAAATAATTTCTGTTTGTATCGGTGGAGTCAGAGTAGCTTTGAGTCGTGACCATTCTCCGAGGATTTGATCGGAAAGAAAGGGAACAACTCAATAATTTTAACATCGTTTATTCGCAGTGAGTTAGGTCGGCGAAATAGTTATTTTGGAAGTGCTAAAATTAGCACTTTCGGGCATTTTTGACTAAGCAGAGTTTTTTTTTTTTTAGGAAAGTGTGTAGAACATAGCTGATTTGCCAAATTTCTGAATTCTATTGCTCAACATGTGTGGGCCACATTGTCAGGAGAGGGAATAATACATAACTGCTCTATTTAAATCTCAAAGACGTCCCTAACTTTTCCGATCATGCTGTACTTGAGAAGTGATATGGTGAAGGCGCTTCTCCAGTGTATAGAGAAGTTGCTCGTGTAGATGTCGACTTGGTCTGAAAGAAGTACATCATCAAGTAGTGTTTCCAAACCACTTGCTACATCACCGGATGTGAGGTGCCCCATTAGTGCCCCACTACCCGGATTGCGGACAGTGTTGAGCAATATTGATCACAGCCGATAAATTTGATTAGAATTAGGGAGGTGTTCCGTTCACAGCCATTCGTAGTGTCGGTGGGGAGAGGAGATCAGTGAGTTAACCTCCGTCCTGTAAAGAAGTACATCATCAAGTAGTGTTTCCAAACCACTCGCTACATCACCGGATGTGAGGTGCCCCATTAGTGCCCCACTACCCGGATTGCGGACAGTGTTGAGCAATATTGATCACAGCCGATAAATTTGATTAGAATTAGGGAGGTGTTCCGTTCACAGCCATTCGTAGTGTCGGTGGGGAGAGGAGATCAGTGAGTTAACCTCCGTCCTGTAAACTTCATCGTGCAAGCACCAAGATGAGAAGCCTGATGACATGCAATCACCAAGTTTAGAAGTTTTGTTTTATAGTTAACATTCATGGGTAGTCTAACTGTTCCACTGATACTCAAATTGAATTGGTGATCTCAACGGGCATGACATAAGTGTAAAATACTCTCATCTTTTAATCATCAAAACCTTGCATGCACATGTAGCTTTTATAATAACATATTTCCGAAATCTAAAATAGCAATATTAACTGTTGTCATGATATTTTCAAAATTGTTGGTGTATGAGAGTATACTTTTTATGTACTTTTTCCGCAAGCTGAACATATCTCATTATCATTGTTTAAATGTTTTGTCTATCTATAAAAGCTAGTATTCTAATCTGCTATATTCATGCGCTGGCTTAAAATAGCAATACGGTAACAAACTTCGTACAAGTTTGTGATGTTGATGTTTTAATTTTCGAATTTTCTCAGATCACGTAAAACAAAATCTTAAACATGTTTGGATCACTTTTTATTGTCTCTCGACTTGTATTCATATAATTAATCAATAATAATAGTTTACATCAAGAAGTTTGTTTGAAATTTACATGATTTCAAATTTTGCTTTGACAAGTTTTATCATGATTCTGTTCCTACATGCGAGATATTCATGACAGGATTACTACATATGATCTAATATTTTTAATTTTCTACATACAGTATTATTGCTCCAATGTATGTTTTATTTAAACGTGTCACAAGTTTTTTTTAATTGTTTTATAATATTCGTATATGAACATTATAATATGAATATGAACATTGCAACTATATACATTGAATGTCATGTTTTTTTTTATTATGATTATTTAGCAATGAATCAAAATATCTTTTGGTATGTTTGAAATAAACTTTAAAAAGTAATTTCTTTCATGAATAGTATATATGTATAGAACTTTTATAAATAGAAATAAACATGAAGAAGTAAAATACCAAAGATAATAATAGACAGCTGGAATTAATTTTAATATCAATATATAATCAAATATAATATTAAACTTTTAATTTTTAGCATTGTAAGTAACATAGATTTGAAAGTGTCGAAATCATACTTAATCAAATCAAAAGTAATCCTAAAAGTACATTGAAATCAACATAAAAAAAATCATTATGTTAGTCCATACATCATGATGCAGTGATAGATAAAGTCCACAATACTGCTAATGAAAAAATCAAGAAACTAGAAATGACGATGTGTTCACAATGAAGAAATTTATATTATTTGAAATTGTTCATTGGATCAATGTAAACTATACATTCTCAATTAAATAATATTTACTTCATACATATGATTACAAAATTTTAAGACTATATTAAAAATAAAAATATATTTGATGTATTTTTGATTAAGTAATAAAAATTTATTAATTACATACCTAAACATGTAATGAAAAATCAATAAATAGGACAAATATTGAGTTTATAAAACAAGCTAATACTTACAAACAATCTAATAGGATAGTAATAATTATTTTGAATATAAAATTAATGATTTCAAATTCTTTTGGATTGATATACTGTTAATCTTTTCAAAAGTTTAACATTTAAAAATGCTCTATATTTGATATGTAAATAATGAAAATAAATGAATAAAAAATATACAATAAGGTAAAAGATTCAAAACATCAACTTATCTACATTTTATAATGAACTAGATTACAACTTGTGACAAGGATATTTTTTTCTTAAAGCTCTTTAATATACATGCAATATGTACTTTGAAAGTACGATATAGTAGTAACATAAGTCACTCACATGCTATTATAAATCATTAAATAGATACAAACTTATCATATGTATACACTATAAATAAAGATGAATATATATTTCTTTATATATGTGCATTAAATTTTGATATTTGAATTCTCAAACTTAAGATATAAAAATTATTTTATAAGTAATGACTTGCATGTCAAATATTGTATATATACTACATAAATTTCACATTATAAACTTGAAAATAAACGACAAAAATGGGACAAAATGAATATATTAATTTGAAAAAAATCCAAATAATGGCTTTTTGACTAGTTGCACACAAAAAAATTTCAAAAAATTTATTTCAAATTTCCAATGATTTTTACAAAAAAATATATTAAAACTTGAACATTTGTTTCAATAAAATAAAACCAAATTTAAATTAATTAAACAAGTGCTAACATTTGCAATCTAGTTGTGACTTGCTCATTTGTTGGAGGTTTTTTTGTTTATTATGGTTAGGTAAATGCAAATTTACAAACCATTGCTCAAATCTTTGCATTGTGCAATGAAGTTGACATTGTTGTCACATAGAATCAATTTTGAACTACTATTTTTGTTGAGTATGCTCTCAAGGTTCTTATGGATAAAATGGAAATATTTGATGCAAGATTGCAAGCTAAAATTGCTGAGAAGAATAGCCCAACTCAAAATCTTCTTGATAATATCATGATGGAGTTGGATTGTTTTGAACTTTGAAATCACGACAAGAAAAACTTGGACTTTTAAAGTTTAACAGTTTCAAAAAATTCATAGATGTCACTATGCAAAACAATGTCAGCAAGAATTGTCTTTTCATGAAGTATGTCATTAGAGATATAATAGAGAGAAATGCATTTATTTTATTGTCATGTGTCAAGTCGTGGAAATGATCAAAGATTTTGAATAATTGTTGTTGAATCGTTTGAATTGAGGTTTCAAGTTGTCTAGCTTTTGCATACAAAAAGCAGTTAAGCATGATCGTGATCATCATTATCAGAGACGACAAGAATAAAGCCAAAGGCATATGCATGAAGATTGAAGTGCTCAACAATGTGGAAATATCTCATTGAAGAGTTTTATGGAAGGAGATTTTTTTAGATTTTCATTTGAATAGGAATTGAAAGTACTAGCTAGAAATGAAGGTTGTTTTCTCTCTAGTTCCATATTAAAACACAACCATGACTTTGTTCATAATTTCAAATAGTCTTAAGAAGCTGTAACTATTATCAAAGACGTAATGATGCTCTAGCATTGAAGCTTGCAAACATTGTTATTGCAATGAAAATTCTCAAACCTAAGTTTTCTAAGAGATTTGTTATGAAATTTGTAATCAGACACAGCATCATTGATTAAAAATATTACCAACATTATTTTATGGAAAAACATCATAAACAAGTCTTTGGTGTTAGAATTTTCTGTTTTAAAGACTTTTTTAACAATGTACATTCAGATGTGTGAAAATAGTTTCCAAAAGCATCATTGTTTGAAAATTTGTACTATGTGTTTTTTATTTATGATTACTCAAGATTTATGTAATTTTATTTTTTTATACACAAATCTGAGATATTTACAATTTTTTGAAGTTTAAAACTACAATTTAAGGCTAAAAATAAGACTGTAAACTCAGAGTTGACTCTCATTTAAGTTTACCTTTGATGATTTTTCTTTAGCTCATTGTGGTTGAAAAGCAAGACTTCATTTAAATGCTAGAGTTCAAACATATTTCACATAATCTTTCCACTCATTACTCAAATTGAATATTCATTAACGTTCAAGATAATTTCTAAAATTAAACTTTGATTGATGAAACAAGTTTTTAAACAATTAACTTTTCAAACTTGCTTGAGTGTTTTTACTCTATCTCTCTATTTACATGATTTGAAAAAATTACCGTAGTAACATATATTTATCATCATCTAACTTATTTTTACTGAGATAAACTTTGTTGATTATAACTAATCGTCAATACAAAACAACATGTCATTGTCATGTTTAAATCTTTTGGAAGTTTTGTTTGTTCATAGATTAAGATGTCAACATGTCATTGAAAACTTTAAGATTTTTGACAACATACAATTGCCATCAAATCAAATTTAGACTTATTCTAACCAATCAAAATTATTAATGAAACCAATAAAAGTTAATAGGTATTTAAAGTATTATCACCTTAGAATTTAGAATTTGATATAAGACAAATTAGTTATGCTCACTTAAGTATACTAATTTATATATCAAGTATGAGTTTCATAGTTTAATTTAGTCATAATTTAACTAATCATGATCAACTTTTTGGTTAATTATACTAGTAAATCACACATAAACATATCGTTCTTACACAAAAAGGTGAATTATTTATGCATGAACAATGGGGTAGAGTGTTATTCTGAAAAGTTTTGAAGCAATTACAAAGAGATTTTTATTACTTGTCATCCTATCATCATTTATAATCCACAACAAAATAATATTTATGAAAATCTTAATCAAACAATGTTGGAAAAAATACAGAGTATGTTCAGCCAATGAGATTTAGCATATGAATTTTGGTTTCAAGTTGTCAACACCGCAATATATTTAATAAACCTTCTAGTGCAATAGATTATTTGACAGCATTTGAATTGATGCACAAATGTATGAATGATAATATTTGTTTAAGATTTTTTGATTGTACATCTTATTCTTTTAAATCTAAAGAAAGTAGATTTAAGATGTATTTTACATCAAAAAAGTGCTATCATTTTGGATTTATTAGAAATGTGAAAATATTTGTATTATAATATCAAATAGATTACAAGGTTAAGTACAATATGAATGTTGTTTTATAAGCTTATATCATTATAAGAGAGTGAAAAGTTTTAGCCATACCATACTCACAAGTACAAATCTTCACTCACAAATGTTGTTGAATTTTTTTTTAACATTTTGTGATTAATGATGTGATATAAAAAAAATTTCAATATAGATGAAGCAAAGCTTTAAAAAGCAAGAATTGGAATAGCAGATTATGTTAGTGTGTCTCAAGTATTTACATCAATTGATAGATATTAATCATAATCGTCCACAAGATGATCATCAAATCAAATTTATAAAATTCATAAACATTATGGTTTATGGACTAATTCATCCATTCTTTAAGATCGTGATATTGATCCTCGTTATGATGATGACATTGCATTGATGTTGAAAGCAAAATAATCTTTTTGTTATAAAAAAACTCAAGTTTCTACCGATAAGTTTGAATAAAATGTTGGCACGAAGCATGAGATATTTTGTTATCCATTAGTACACTGTGGTTGCTAATAGATAACAAAATTTGAAAACTAGTGTAGTTTTTAAGAAATCAAGCTTTGATTGATTTCAAATAGGTATACAAGATGAAATACAATTGAATAGATAACAATAGTGAAATCTTCAAAGCAAGGCTAGTGACTAGAGG